ACTATCAATTCATTGTTTAGTTATTTATTAGTAGTAATACTACTAATTTCTGCAGTGCTTTATTTTTCCCAAAGCCTCTTGGGAAACACACATTCATCCATTTCTCTCAGCAGGATAGGACAGTATTATTGTTCTCTCAGTTTTACAGGTGACTGGTAAGTGACTTGTCCTGGGTCACAAAGCTGGTAAGTGGTCAGGGAGGTACAGAACTGGAAACAGACTCCTTGTCAGATCTGCTTTCTTTCCTCTACACCACATTAGAGAAAAGATAATCCCTGAAGCCAAAGACGACTTGGAATCAGTTATCTACCAATCTTAGCAGTACAGTCAATGCAATAGAAAAAGAGCTTGTCTTAGGCAAAGGGGAAAGATTGATTAATAATGCACTACGGAAGCTCTAAGCCTTACTGTTCCATGGACCAATAATTATTCAGTTTCACAGTTCATTCAAAGATTCAAACATCCTTCACCAGAAAATGACTTAGTACACAAAGCCTGCTCCAAGTGGTTAGAAAGGCAGATATGTTCAAAGCCTGATGATCTGGGTCCTCTGAAATGTCTGATTCCTGCGATCTCTGCAGCAGCGGGGTTTCCCCCTGAACTTGTACTTGAGCTAAATGAAGAAACTGGCTGAGTAAGGACTACAGATTTAGGTTGTTAATGTGGACAGAATTAGATCTGGCTTGGAGGATACTCTTGCATTGTTCTTGAAACTTAGGCTATTGAAAAAACTCAGACATTATATATCCCTTGCTGTATAACACTCCTCAAAGTCAACACTAACCCACAGAAGTTCTCCTTCCCTCTCATTCTTTCATTCAGTAAATATTACTCACTATCTTCAAGGCATTGTACCAAGGTACAAAGGATATAGAGCTTTCATCATGGAAATTTGATTTTTATGATCAATACTCTTTCCCTTTCTCTGAACAATATTAATGGGCACATGGCATACAAATTAAGTATTAAAGTGATACACTCAACACGCTCAGACCACATAAATCTGGTTATGGACTCAACAGCAATACAATTACGAAAGAATTCGGACACTCATTCTGAACACAGGCCCATTTAAATAGTGTCTCTGAAAATGAAGCGCCCAAGTGAAGTGAGACCTGCAGACGTAATCGGCTTGGGTGAATCACTCCTGAATGCTGAGGCCTCCCTTCGGACACAATGTTATCAGGTTAATACAGTACTTGCATCACCATCTCTGAGCACCAAGCTGAGTAACAAAGTGCCAAATTTAGAAGCTAAAATGGAGAGGGAATTTCCAAAAGCCAAATTGGGGTGGGGGTGGGGAGTGTCGGAAGCAACCCTTGTGGCACCCTATGTTTTCAGTGGAAAGCAACCGTTTACACTCCTTACATTCTTCTCACATCATCAGTACACTCCGTGAAGGAGTTCCTCTCAGGATGGCTTCAGGAGACGGCTAGTGGCTAGAAGAGAGAAAACCCATTCCCTCAGAGAACAGGGTGGCACAGCCGCCACCTCTGGTTTCTGTAGCAATAAGCCTTTCAAAGTTCGGAAGGGTCAGACGCTGTGCTCACACTTCCCTCTCAGCTTGGATATTGCTATTGTCAAGTTTCAATAGCCACTGTGTTGGTTTCATTTTACATCCTGAAACCTCCAAGAAAAAAAAGAGGCAATCTCATTTGTATTTCCAAGCTGGCTGGAGAAAAAGCAAAAACCAAATGACTAGAGCCCTAAGCAGACATGCCACCACAGTGCGAGTCAGAGGCTGGGAGGTGAAGTTACAGGACCAGCCCACACTGGGGCCCTTTAATGGCCCCTCCAGTCTTGGTACCAAGGCAGAGATTAGTCTTTTCCACTCGGTTTAGGCTGGTTGCCTCATTCTGTGTATCATCCCCAGAAACACTTACCAGGAGACTGTGAAGCACACAAAGCTGTATTATTAGGAGACTTGCAGACAGATTATAAATTTACTGGGGACAATCAAGGCATTTAGATACTTTTGGCTGCAGATGCTGGTGACACACACATACATACAAACCTCATTCTTCTCTCCATTTGAGCAGTTCTTTACTCCTCTCTCCTCCTCCCCTTCACCCCCCAACTCAGCATCTTTCACAAAACAAACTCCCACTGCTCTCCCAGGGAATTCCAGGGAGAGGTAGAGATAGAGCAGGTGGGAAAGAAAGAAAATTAGACCTCAAAGTGCTACCACAGGCTAATTGTATTCGGGAATCAAACAACAAACATTGGTCAACTTCATTGTTAGTAAGTTATTTTTCACCAGGAGCTGGCTTCAGAAGTTGTACTTCTAGGCATCTCATGCAAAATGTGTCAATGGTGGGGGAGAAGAGCACCATCCTAGCCATGGGTACTTCCTGGAAACTTCAGCACAAACACAAGCCAGGGAGGAGGAGGGCCAGAAAGAAGAATCCTATGGACCTGCCTAGAATTCATTTTCAGGCTTCTTTGGATGAGGCATTAGTTCATCCTCTCCTTTCACTGTTTTAGTGCTTTAGGGATTTAAAAACCATTTCCTTCTGTTGACTCTCATTAGGGTAGGTTGGGGCTAACAGAAGCTGTCCTGGGAGCAGAGACAGAGCTTGAAGGGCCCTGCAGAGCTCAGCAAAGACGGAAGGGTGCTGAGTTACAGGTCAGGGCTCAACCTTTCTACCTAGAGGCCATAGTAGGCCTAGCAGCTTCTGGGGAAGCCTGCACAGGGCAGGCAGTCACCTGATCAGAGCCAATGATTCAAGGAATGGGGTGTGTCTCTGCCGCCAAGAAACTTTATCAGAACTTTTGGGTTAGATACCCTGTCACCAAAGAGTGGCTGTAGACAAGGTACTTGCCAGAGTGGTATCTGTGTAAATAGCTCCTTTCTGCTGGCCCACTTTGAAGAATACTGTCACTCCTGGATTGAGGTGCCTATGAAAAGCAGCTAGATGGGAGGGGACAAGCAGTTCTATCTTCAGTATAGACTATAAGGAGTAGGCCTCTTAGAAAAATATTTCCTCAACAATCTATCTTTGGGAAATTTCACCACAATTTTTTTGGGGGACTGATGGGAAGGACACTCTGGGTTACAGATCACCTTTCGTGTTCTCTTAACCCAAGGAGATGGGCCCACTTCAGAGGGGAGGAGGGATTGGGCAAGAAGAAAAAGGTTTTGCTAAAAGTCTGCAGTGCTGATAAAGGGCTTTAGGCTGATGAATGGCTTGTTGGACCAACTCAAAGCTGGCTGGTCACAGCAAGAAGACCACTGACACAGCATTCCTCAGTAACTCAGATTTTGTAGCCTCTTCTACAAGCAAGCTCTGGCCCTCCCAACAGCCTCTGGAAAACTCAGCTTTCCATCAGTTAAGGAATACCCTCCATGCGGAGGAAAACCTAAGAATGAGTCTAGCGGAACTTGATGAGTAAGAGTACAAAAGTGCACAAATAACACACCCAATAGCCTTTTGAGGTAGGCGACATTGTGGCCTTTCCATTGCCATCTACTTAAGTTAGGTAGGCCAATGCGAGCTCAGGCCTCACAAAAAGGCCACATGACCACAGGCAGAAGCATGAGAAAACCAGGTGCCTTACCGCAATCAGGGCTGAGTTCCTCTGGTCTCCCGAGGTTGAAGCTGGTGTCTGCTGCTCCCCATTGATCCCACCACCGCCACCATTATTGCTACTGTTCAGCAGGTGCTGCTGGTGGTGATGGTGGTAGTCTGGTGGGGGCGGTGGAGCTGCTGTGGCGGCTGCTTGAGAGGCTGGAGGTGGGGCAGCAGGGGGCGGTGGAGGGGCTGTCGTGGTAGCAGCAGTGGTGGTGGTCTTGGTGTGTTTGCCAGCCTTTCTTGCTCCCTGGCCATGCTGGACAAGACTCAGGAGCTGCAAAGTACTCTCTCTTTCCCGGTCTGAGCTCTCGGCCCTACCACGTTCATAGCGTCCTTCACAGCTCAGGTGGTGCTGGCGACAGACGGCTATCCGAGCCCGGAGACGCTCCACGATAGCACTGTGCACTCTTGGGGTGACTGAGCCCCCTCCAAGGAGTCCCGCCCCAGGAGCCCCTCCTAGCCCTCCTGCGGGGGCCTGTGGGGGCGCTGTGTCCCCCATCTTATTGGACACAATGATTGTTGTCTCTGGGATGGTGAGGTGGAAGGATACTGCTGGTTATTATAGGCAAATCGCTTATTGACAAAGTGAGCTCAGTGTTCAGGGCCACATGAATAGAGATCTTCAGAGGATGGGGGAGCCTTGGAGAAGGTATGGGGGAAGGGATCTAGTAAAAAGAAGGTGGAGGAAAAAGAATAGAAACCAATTGAAAAGAATAAGTTGGAAACAAACCCTGATCAACTTACTCTAATTGCGTTTGACATCTCTGGAAAAGTTGGACAGAGTTAGTTGGTGGATTTCCCCCCCCCCCCCACCGAGTAGACTGGCGTGAGCCACTAGGTACTTCGTAAACACTCAATCTGGGGGCTAGATCAAGAATTCAGAGATTGTCAAGCGAGAGACAGAAACAGACAGTAAAGGGATTTGAGAGACGTATTATTAATAGAGTTGGGCTCCCCCTCACCTACTTGTTTTGGAAAAATTCTTTATGGGGATGTATCTGCTGAAAATTCATTTCTGCCATGGTTTTTGTAACCACGCACGGCAGCCTTTACTTTTTTCTCAGGTTAAAAAAAAAAAATTTTTTTTTTCCTGTTTCAAAAGATTTTCGGTCAATGTTCAAAACGTGCAAACAAAACAAAACAAAAAAAACCCCAGGGGAAACAAATTGTCTTTTGGCTTTTACTTTTCCTCCTTTCCCCTTTGCTCTCGGTGCTTTCTCCTCTTTGGGGTACTGTAGAATGTTGTCTTCTCCCAAAAGAGGGAGACAGCTTTTCAATTGTTAACAATGTCAGTAATTGGACTTTTGGACCACGCTTTTTTCTTCAGCTAATCCAATCACCGGTACAATCCTCATTTCCCTCTAAGGTTTCCTAGCTTTAAATGAAAGCAATCTGAAGTCGCTAGCCACTGAGAGAGATCCTTCACCACATTTTTTTCTTTCCCGCTTACGTTTCTATTCCTCAACCCCGGCACTATTCTAACACAGTATCAAGAGAGACAAACTCTCCCGAGAGTAATTTATAAACGATGGTCAAACTTACAAACTTCCAGCAAATTGCACCGAGTCATGTCCAGCCACTTTTCTGTCCACTTTTGTACATTCCATCCCCGGCCAGTGGATCTGAGGGTCTGGACTCGCAATAAGCAATGTGGTTCTAGCTCTTGTATTGCTCCGCTTTATAGATGGAAGGAAAAAAAGTAGCTTGTATTTTCCTTTCTCTTTCTCGTCTGTTGTTAGCCGCTTTGCTGACACTGGCTCTACTGCTCCCTCGGAGTCACGGCGATACACAGGCTTTCATTGTGCTCCGATAGGAGAGGGAGAAAAAGAGAGAGAGTGAGACGGAGAGGGAGAAAGAGAGAGCCAGCAAGCTGCAGATTGGGGGGGGGGGATGGCGGCGGAGGGGGTGGGCGGGAGAGCTTATTCGAGGCTCCCTGGTGGAAGGCTGGTGCCACTACACGAGTGAGTAATTGTAGCCAGGCACCAGGGAAAGGGAAACGCAGAGGGCCTCCCAGTGGCTGAAGCCGTAAAGCCTGAAGGCTGCGCATCTCGAATACCAACAGCTCAGTCTCAGACTTGGTAAAGTGGGGAGGGCTCGGGAAATTCCCCAACCCCTACACAACCATTTCACCAGCTCTAAATGTTCAAGAAATTCCCAACCAAGGAATGTATTTTCCCTTTCAGACCAACATTATACTCCCCTGAGAATACCATTTTAATTTTTCAATATGTTGTAAATGATACCACTGAGCACCCTAGCAAGAGCTAGTTTAGCACTGGAAATGTTCATTAGGATAAGACTATGTATGGGATGGGGAACGGAGGTTGTTAGGTCCTAAAAGACAGGCAGGTGTATGTCTACCCAAGTACCTGTGTGTTTCTGGATAAATTAATCTGGGTGACCATATAGCAAATTAATAGGGTAAATCAAATATTTTCAGGATGATGAAATTACCAATCCCAGTTGCAGAAGTCAGAAAAAGAAAAAGGAGGGGTGTTTTTCTTTTAAAAGACAAGATGGCCTATGACAAACCCCAAATGAAATCTGAAGCATCCCACACTGTCTGGGTTACATATATAATGTGGAAAATCAATATACAGCAGTTAGGTCTCAAAAAGTTTAGCAACACAAACAGAACCCTCATACAGACTCTGTTGTCCCTTTAGCTTCTGTAATAATGACAAAACTTACAGTGGATTGCTTGTCATTAATTATGCAATGTAAATTAAGATGAACAGTAAATTACAAATACAGTATTAGGGCAGTGAGGGCCAGAAACATTCTAGGCATCCTAACATGGAAGTCATTTGAATTTGAAGTCTCAAGCAACAAGGCTTTGTTAAACTAACTCTGACATTTCAGCAACAAGACTGAACTGTGGGTAAAATCAAGCAGATATTTTTAAGGCTGATCTACAGTTTCATTCCAAACAGGCTAGTCTACTTTGTTGTTAAGTGCCAATGAGTTGGTTCCGACTCATGATGACCCTGTATGCAGTTTCTTAGGAGCTATTGGTAGTCCTGAAATGTTTGGAAATGGGGACAAGCACATTTTGATGAAATTCTATTTATTTATTTATTTATTTTACTTTGAAACAGTTCTATCTGTCCCTTCCAAGGCTAAATTCTTCATATGTCACATGGAAAATGGCAGAAAATGATCTTTAGTAGGTATGAAACAGTTTGAAACTCTCTCAGATTTCTTACTATTATTATGAGATTTCATTAAAAAGTAAAGGAGCTTTGATCATTTTATATTTGAACGTTTAAAAGATATATTTTTGAAGTATTATATCACTATGGGGATTTTACATTCAGTAATTGTAGTTGATAAAGGGTAAAAATATTTTAATTTAAATCTTACTGTATAGTCTTTATGACTGTGAATTAGGCATTGGACTGCTAACTACAAGGTCAGTGGTTCAGAACTACCAGCTGCTCATCAGAAGACAAGGCTGTCTGCTCCTGTAAAGAGTTAGTCTCAGAAACCCTACAGAGGATTGTTATGAATCAGAATGGACTCAATGTTAGTGGCTTTGTTTTTCAGTTTTTGTTATGAGTTGAGGCTAAAGCACTCAACTGCTAACCAAAAAGTTGGTAGGTAGTTCTAACCCATCCGTTGCTTCATGGAGGGAAGATGTGGCAGCCAACTAACGATTTACAGCATTGGAAACCCTATGGGACACTTTTACTATATCCTATAGGGTTGCTATATGAATCAACTTGATGGCAGCGGGTTCGTTTTTTGGGTTTACTTTACAGGTTATATAACATGGAGTCCTTGGTCAAACTGTAGCTGTTGTTAGGTGTTGTCAGTTCCAACTCATAGCAATCCTGTGTTTAATAGAATGAAACACTGCCAAACTCAGTGTCATCCTCACAATTGCTATGTTGGAGACCACTGTTACTGCCACAGTGCCAATTCATCATAGTTACGGTCTACTTCTTTTTCTCTGATTCTTTACTGTACCAAACATGATGTCCTTTTCCAGGGACTGGTCCCTCCTGATAATATGTCTAAAGTTTGTGAGACAAAGTCTCGTTGCCATCCTCAATCACTTCTAAAGAGCATCCTGACTGGCAGTCTAAAAGTCCATGGCATAGTCAATATTGTCAACACCATAATTCAAAGGCAATGATTCTTCTTTGACCTTCTTCATTCTCCAGCATTCACATGCATATGAGGTGATTAAAAATACCATTGGCTATTTGTTGCTTGGGTACACCTTAAACCTCAAAGTGACATCTTTGTTTTTTAACATTTTAAGAAAAAAAAGAGATCTTTTAGATTTGCCCAATGCAATAATACATCATTTGATTTCTTGACTACCGCTTCCATGCATGGTCAAATTGTTGTTAAGTGTTCTTAATTCTGACTCACAGTAACCTTGTATAGCAGAGGTAGGGAATGTCCTGCCCATGGGCCATATGTTGTTGTTAAGTGCCGTCAAGTCGATTCCGACCCATAGTGACCCTGAACAGGGTTTCTGAGGCTGTAAATCTTTATGGGAGCAGAAAACCTCATCTTTCTCCCACGGAGCAGCTGGTAGTTCCAAACTGCTGACCTTGCGGTTCACAGCCCGATTCATAATCACTATGCTACCAGAGCTCTATAAAGCCCACAATCATTAGGTCTGGCCCTGTTAAGGCAACTGCAGTTTCAGATATCACGTTTGTTGTTGTTAAATGCCGTTGAGTCAGTTCTGTCATCACGTTGTTAAGTGTTATCAAGTTGGTTCCTGCAGGTGCCCCAGCATCCTCCCCACTTTCCATACTTCCACTTTTTCTCAGACATGAAGTGCAATCAAGCACATTAACCCACAGCGCCACAGCAAGCCATCATGTTGTTGTTAGGTGCCATGGAGTCGGTACCAACTCATAGCAATCTTATACACAATAGAACTTAACACTGTCCAGTCCTGGGCCAACCTCACAATTGTTGCCAAGCTTGAGCCCACTGATGCTGCCACTTTGCTAATCCATCTCACTGGGAGTCTTCCTCTTTTTCTCTGACCCTCCACCAAACATGATATCCTCCAGCGACTGGTCCCTCCTGACAATATGTCCAAAGTATGAGAGACCAAGTTTGGCCATCCTGGCCTCCAAGGAGCACTCTGGCTGCACGTCTCCAATACAAGGCTCTGGTGAGTTAATTGTTTGACCAAATATAGCAGAGCAATATTTAAGTTGATAATTTTGTATGGACCATGAATGATCATTGTAATTTTAGGTTCCCCAATGCGCTGGACTGCAAGGTCAGCAGTTCAAGTTCACCAGCTGCTTCTTGGAAACCCTATACAGGGTCGCTATGAGTCAAAACTGACTAGATGGCACTTAACAATACCTCCAGCTGTATAAGGTTTCCAAGCAGCAGCTGGTAGGTTTGAACCAACAACCTTGTGATTAGCAGTACAGTGCGTGTCCTACAACAGGACAAATGAACTACTTCTAAATGAAGTGGCATTGTAGGATAAGCACTGTGCCGCTAACCACAAGGTCAGAGGTTCAAACCCACCAGCTGCTCCTTGGACACCCTATACAGGGTCGCTATGCGTCAGAACCGACAACACTTAATAACAACAAATGAAATAAAGTTCATTTCTACATGAAACTTGTATGCACCGTGACATTATAAAGCAGATGTTTAAATCAATGTTCATACTATATTCCTGTGGTGTACGACACTTCTTTGGATTAGTTTTTAAACACATTTGACTTTACACAACCATTTAATCTCAAACTGACAGCATTATCCATACTCTCCTCTCCAGTCACACCAGTTACTATTTATGAAAGAATTACTGTTTCAGGCACAGTTTATGATCTTCCTTAACCCACAAACCGAGTTCTTAAGTGGTGTAAATGGTCAAATGTGTTCCACTGCTAACCAAAAGGTTGGAAGTGCATCAGAAGTCTTGGAACAAAATTTGATGATCTACTTCCAAAAAACTGTCATTAAAATTCTATGGAGCATAGTTGTGCAATGGTAGACAAGGAATTGCCGTTAAGTAGGAACCAACTGGTTTAATTCAAAAACAATTCTCTAAGACAGGAATTTTTAAATCCTATTCACAAACAATAAAACTGAGGCTCATAGAAGTTACTTGTTCCCGGTTATGTAGCTAGTAACAAACCAAGAGTCACAATGAACTGCAAACCTGTACTGTCTTAACTATTAGGCTTCCTGTCTCAATGTGTCTAACATGAAATTACTAGGGAAGGCGGGCTATTCCCATGTATTGTGGGTTTCAATTAATACCCTTCACGCATTTGGACCCCTGGTGTGATGCTGGGATCAGCACTCCACTGTGAACCACAAGGTCGGTCATTCCAACCCAACCAGCTGTTCCTTGGAAAGTCTATACAGGGTCACTGAGTCGGAACTGACTTGATGGCACTTAACAAATCACTCTGGGGTTGAAGTAAGTTTGATAATACTTCCAAGGAATGAAAAATGGGTAAAACTACTCACTTGATTAAGGCTGACAACAAACAAGGTAGGAAATATGGCCAATTATATCCCATTGACCTTTTATACTATTGTCCCCTCATAATCCTGAAACTTCTGTATGTTGTTGTTTTATGCCATCGAGTCAGTTCTGACTCATAGCAACCGTGCATAGGGTTTCCAAGGTGCGGCTGGTGAACTTAAACTGCTGATCTTCTGGTTCAAACTGACCTTGTGGTCCAGTGCTTTATCTCACAGCACCACACCAGGACGCCTCATAATTCTGAGAATTCTGTATGTTGTTGTTGTTATTAACTGCCAGTGAGTTGGGTCCAACACATAGTCTGCCTCTTTACCATTCTTCTGGTGTTATCATGTACCTTAAAAAGCCTCTAATATTCTCCAAACAGCCACTGAAGTAGCTTGTTCAGCTGCAATGACCTCAGATATAACAAACAATACCTATTGGTATTTTTTCATCAACAGTTAGATGCACTTCGAATAGGGAAAACATACCAAAACTAAAACGATGCCTAACATAGCAACTGAGTCAACTGCCAACATTACAAACGAAATGCATTAAAAACGACAAATTGAAAAAAAAAACACACCAAAAACTCTTGTTGGAACTCCTTCATTCTTGAGGTGTCTCAATCTTGTTTGTGTCACAATGAGAACTGCTACACAGAGTCATGAGGGATACCACCTTAGAGCTAATTCTACACGAGAGTCATGAGGGATACCACCTTAGAGCTAATTCTCTTTTGTTTTTTCTGGTCTTTCTAAGTTTTTCATGACCCTTCACCCTCCAGCCTATCATTTCTCCTCCAACTATGCTTTGCTTCTTTCTGGACATGCACTTTATCTTCATCCTTCAACTTTGGGTTCATTTTATTCCCTGGAATTTAGTTAAGGATTATTTCCATATGTTTGAGAAATATGAGTAAGGATAGAGATATATGACTAAAAATTTTATTTCACACTTCTGATACACCCCACATGTTAAACTTCAGCATCTTACCACTTTGAGGTTTTTTTTGGTGTGTGTTTGTTTTTTTAACACAGTTTGTTTACAATAATAAGGATAATTTCAGGAAATGAGTCGCAGAAAATATGAAGCCATCTCCATGTAGGGATTTAATAAGCTGTAGCTTTTTGAGGATGTACATACAGTGAGGTCCGTGCATGGGACCACTTAATAGATGAAGTTAGGTTCAACAACATTTCTAGTAAGACATAAATTATCTACAATTCCACAGCACAAAAGATTTCAATAGAAAACTATACTTTTAAAAATTAAAGAGAGAGAGACTAGATAGGGCCCATTAATTAAATCTGGAACTCTTCACTGTACTTTTTGTTAAACGGAAGCTTAGATGTGCAAAACCAGGCAGATTAAAAAATATCACTTAAAAGTAGTTTTGACTAAATTTGTCTCGGTGATCTTCGGATCCTTATATACTCATACTTTTATGGGAAAAGATGTAGATAAAAACAAATAAAATATATTTTCATCATTAGCATCTACAGAAAACTGATAAAAGAAAGACCATTATAAAACATGAAAGAAAAAAAATCACTCCTTTATTTGGAAAAAGTTACACTCAATCAGATTCTCAGGCAAAGGGGGTTGAATTGAATAATATATTGAAGTTTCTTCTATGGTCCACTGATTCAGATAATGATGTTGTTGTTGTTGTTGTTATGTGCCGTGGAGTTGGTTCCGACTCATAGCGACCCTGTACAGGGTTTCCGAGGCTGTAAATCTTTACCAGAGCAGAACCCCTCATCTTTCTTCTGCGGAACAGCTGGTAGTTTCGAACTGCTGACCTTGAGGTTCGCAGCCCGATTAGTAACCACTATGCTACCAGAGCTCCTTGATAGTGGTAAAAAAAAATGTACTAGTGAAAATCATTTAATACTGAAAATGGGTAATACATAGATGAAGGCAAACGTTAAAATCAATGAATGCATATAGATATTTCTCCAGACTACATACATTTTATAATACATTATATTTCTACTAAACTGACAGGACTGAGAAAGCTCACTCACTTGATAGTTACCTGTTAAAAAGTCACTGTTATATAATTTTAAAATACATTTACTGACTTAAAAATTAGACTTATCAGATAAAAGTTTTACTAAGCTGCAGAGTCCCATTTCATGGGAATTAAGATGACTATAAAATTTTTTTTAAGATGCACATAAATTTTTAACAAAATATTTTGCCATAAAGATAGAAATGCATGTCACATGATTCAGGTAAACAAGAGTCATGATCTTCACACTGACAGGAACTTATAAAATGTACAGCAATTCAATCGAACTTCTCATCTTGAAAGTAATCCGCAAGACCAAGATATTCTTCAAGCTGATCATATTTCTGCATATATAATAAACAAAAAGTTATTTTACTCAAAGAAAACAAAGATATACAGGCCTTTTCAATCTACAGGAACAAGTACATTCCATGGTAAGCAGGAACAAATTCACTTTTATTATGGACAGGGATTCATTTTAGAATGCGCATTTCTAACTCACAGAAAACACTGAGTTAGAAAATACACTTACTACTGTATTTTCAAAGCCTAATTTTCTACTATCATAACCAAAATAAAATGACTTCAATAATTTATTTGACAAAGTTTTGTTGACTGGATAATATATACCAAACATTTCACTAGTGAATGTCTAGACACCAGAAACATTACGATACTTTCCCTATTCCTAAGAAGAACAGAGTTTAGCTGTAAGCTATGTACCGGACTACTAATCACAAGGTCACAAGTTCAAACCCACCAGTGGCTCCACACGAGAAAGATGAAGCTGTCTGTCCCTGCAAAGATTTAAAGTCTTAGAAACCCTCTATGGGGCTCCCCATAAGCTGGAATCAACTTGATGACAGTGGGTTTGGGTTTTGGTCTACCTCTAAAATCACTAATAAGTGTCATAAAGAAGTATACACAGTGTGTTATGGGGATTCAGACGGGAGGTCATGGTTAGTTAAAGTAGTCAAGAAAGATGTCATGAAAAATCAGCAGAACATCATCAGTATGTAAAGCTTTGATGGGGATCTCTTTGTGGAGGAAACAACAGTCCATCTAATGGTGACAAGACAAAAAAAAGTGTGAGATATGAACACAATCTGAGGTTGTTTAAAGAAAGAGAAAAAAGAGAAGTCTGAACCCAAAAGGTTGATGCAAGAGAATAAAAAGTTATGAAATGTTAGATTAAGAAGTTTAGTGATAACTTGACAGGCAATGAAAAGCTGCTAAAGGTTTTCAACAGAGAACTTAAAATTGGTAAAACAGTCATGTCTAGAATAGTCTGGCAACTGGTTATGAGTCAGGTAATGAGGGCTCAGATTTGCATGATAGCAATGAAGTTGGAAAGCAATCAGCAAAGTAGAAAAAGTTAAGAGAAGTTTCAAGTGATTTGGAGATTTTAAGGTAGAGAGAATAGGAGAATAATGGCAGGGTTACTTCTGAGGCAGGTTGGGGAAAGAAAAAAGATGCATGTGTGATCACTTTGTGGCATAAAGAATTCTAGCTACTCATGAGGAAAGTCACTTAATTGAGGAGATTAAGTGATTCAATGGTTTCTTGACTCCATTTATGAACTTTTATTCTAAACCCATGAAGTTGAAAGAGGATTCTGTTGAGCCACATTTCTGTGGTGATAAGGACCCTTAGAAGAGTATGTGAACAGTGTGGTTTCCTTCCAGACTTATATAAGCTATAAAACTCTTCACACTAAGATTGCTGTAATTAGATCACTTCTGGAAACGATGAAGAAAAGCACTTGAGGAGAAAGAGGCTATGGACTACTTAGGTACCCTTTTGGCCTAGTCCTCAGACAGCTTCCATTAGATATAAGTATTCTAGGATTTAAAACCTGTATTATACAAGCTTGGCTATTTTTCAGCCTTTTATATTACCTTTCTTCATACCCTTTATTCCATTTTGTACACTTCTTTTGGAAAGTTATAATCTATCTCAGCTCTAGTAGCAAAAAGAGAGGAAAAGCTTTTAATGAAAATGTTGTTGTTGTTGTCAGGTGCCATCGAGTCAGAAGCGACTCATAGCGACCCCATGCACAGCAGAATGAAACAATGTCCGATCCTGGGCCAACCTCACTACTGCTGCCACACTTGAGTCCATCAATGATGACACCTGGCCAATCCATCTCGTTAGGGGTCTTCCTCTGTTTCTCTGACCCTCCATCTAACCCAGCATGACATCCTTCCCCAGCGACTGTTCCCTCCGGATAATATGTCCAAAGTATGAGAGATGAAGCTTAGCCATCCTGGCCTCCAAGGAGCACTCTGGTTGCACTTCTTCCAAAACACATCTACTGGTTCTTTTGGCAGTCCATGGCACTTTCAGTATTCTTCTCCAACACCACAACTCAAAGGCATCAATTCTTCTACAATCTTCCTTATTCACTGTCCAGCTTTCATATCCATATGAGGTTACTGAAAATACCATGGCTTGGGTCAGGCGCACCTTAGTCCTCAAGCTGACATCTCTGCTCTTCAAAACTTTAAAAAGTTCCTGTGCAGCAGATTTGCCCAATGCAATACGTCGTCTGATCTCTTGACTGCTGCTTCCGCGAGTGTTGATAGTAGGTAACATTAATTGTTTACTTACTATTTGCTAGGTTCTACATTAAATGCACCAAATGTGTCACATTATTGGTTTTGTTTCTATTGTACAGATTTAAAAACTCAAGCTTATGGAAATAATTTGTCCTAAAATTCTACAGTGAGTAAGTGGCTGAGCAAATATTTAAAACCATGCTTTCAATGATCATAGTATACTGCTTCTGAGATTTAAATGGTAAATGCAGAGCACAGCATTGCAGTGAAAAAAATCTCAAAAAGGGAAAGTTACACTCCGAGAGAAAGCAATTACATTACTTGCCTACCCCGCCCCCTCCCCCCTAAAGATTTTCCTTCCGTAGTTTTTCTGGAGAGTTTTAGGTCATACTTTAATAATGAAGACTACTCTCTTAACAGTGCCAGAGTGACCTATCAGTGACAGTGGCATCAGGTGAATTTGGGGAATGAAGTATGGGAGAGAGGTCTGACCATAAAAGGAAGCATGTGGAGTCTAATCAAAGCAGACTAGCTGGACCTGCAAAAAGGGATGGTTTTACCAAGGGAGAGGGGTTAGGCAAGAGGACAGAACCTGGTGCAACATGTTCTTTTAAGAAATATTCCTCAATCTTTAAGTTGCTTAAGAATCACCTACTTTCTTAAGACATTAGATGCTTCCCAACCTCAAGGATTCTCAGCCAGTCGTTCCGGAGTAAGGTCAAGGATTATGGAGTTTTCATGAACTCCTAACCAAAACACAAATAAACTAAAAAAACCCACGGCCATGTCAGAGGACTCATGTGCTCTGTATTCTAATGTGTGCTCCATAGGGTTTTCATGGCTATTACCAGATCTTATTTTCTGTGATACCTCTGGTTTGATTCAAACCACACTTTTTGGTTAGTAGTCCAGTGCTTAACTAGTTGTGCTGACTACTGTTGTTGTTGTGAAGTGCCGTCGAGTCGGTTCCGACCCATAGCGACCCTGTACAGGGTTTCCGAGGGTGTAAATCTTTACGGGAGTAGAAAGCCTCGTCTTTCTCCCGCGGAGCAGCTGGTAGTTTCGAACCGCTGACCTTAAGGTTCGCAGCCCGATTCGTAACCACTACTCTAACTGACTACTAGGTGATTCTAATATATGGAGTTTAAGGGCTATGTTTTGAGAAATACTAGTTTAAGAGTGGAAGAAAAAAGAAAACAAAGTTTAAAAGGAAAAATGATGTCAGCAAATGAGAAGAGTTTTAGGAAGGGGATGGATATTCAATTACCATTTAAACTTCTTATATAATACTGTTTATTCATACAATATGTTTACAGTAGACCTTACATTTACCTGTAAAATTTAAACTTAACACTTCTGTTGACATACTTTCTTCACTCCCTGGTTCTCATGTAACCACCCGCTTATCCCACTATCTTATACATTTCCATGGAAACGTCATTTTCATATATGCACTATCGCCTTAGTGAAAAAAAAAAAAAGTTAGAATTTTGTCTGCAGCACTCTATAGCAAATTCTTTGGCTCTATTTTAGAATAAGATATGTCATTATTTATTATATATTGTTTCATTATAGCTTTTAAATCACTTGTTCTGTTCTCACACTTGAGTTGTTCCTACCCTTTTAGTATCATTAAACAGATAGTATCCTGGTTCAAAGGTCAGGAAGAAGAACCAAAAGAACAGAAACATGCAAGTCTTTGGGAAGAAGTGCTGAGATATCCTGAAATAATGGTGAAAAAGGTTTGAGAGAAGAAGGGACAGGTAAAGGAAAAAGTAGTGTGAAATAACAAGCTGGAAGAGGGAAAACACGTGGTCTGTGTAAAGCAAAAGAAGGGGTTGATATTATTGAGGAGTTAAGAGCAAAGAGAGTCATGGATGTGAGCATTTGAATATCACTGAGTCCTACGGGGTCTTAATAATGGGAGTCATGAGACTGCAGCCAAAGGAGACACCCATCATAAGAGCACATCACCCAGCAACACACAAAGAGGGATGGACAGAGTCAAGCTAAGAAATGTCAGAGCACTTGGTAAAATTCTGAAATTTAATCACAGCATGAGAAGTTGCATATAAACTTTATAAAAATTGCCTATAAACTTCTATGATTTCTAGAGAATGTCTTGAGAAAGTTTATGGACAAAATATTTAAGTAAGAGAAACTCAAGGAAAAAAAAAAAGGAAGCACTTTGGAATTTTTATGTGAAAAATGTACATACTGCCCCAAACATGTTGTTGTTGTTGTTGTTAAGTACCGTGGAGTCGGTTCTGACTCATAGTGACCCTGCACAGCGTTTCCTAGGCTGTAAATCTTTATGGGAGCAGAACATACATGACCTTAAAATATTATCACTGTCTAAGATTAAGGAGTCTTGGTGTGGCACTGTGGGTTAATGCGCCAGACTGCAAAGCTGTTTGAACTGCAAGGTTGGTGTTTTAAGCTCACCAGCTGCTCCTTGGAAACCCTATACAGGGTCGCTATGGGTCAGAACTGACTCAACGGCACTTCAACGAAGGTGAAGTAAAGGAGCTCTGGTAGTGTAGTGGTTACGAATCGGGCTGCGAACCACAAGGTCAGCAGTTCGAAACTACCAACTGTTCTGCGGGAGAAAGATAAGGCTTTCTGCTCCTGTAAAGACTTACAGCCTCGGAGACCCTGTGCAGGGTCACTATGAGTCAGAACCGACTCCAAGGCACATAACCACCACCACCAAGGTTAAGTATAACACTTTCTTTTCCTAAGAATTTCTTCTTCTTTATTTCTAGTCCCTCTTGTTGTCGTAAACT